AACTCTAACCCCTTAAACCCCAAAACACGCCTTTCAACATGCAAAACTGCGTCATTTTTAGCAACATTCCATGAAAATTCGTTATTATCAATGCAGTAGCTGCTTATATAAATTTAGAAATTGATATTCTTATGTAAAATGAACATCCTATTTTGTGCTCCATTTCTTAAAGAGCTCATCCCTTTTTCAATTTTTTTTATGAATAAGAAGTTCGCATGAAATAAATTTCTCTTCTTATTTTCTTATTTCCTTCTTCTATTTTTTCCCATAAAATTGTGTTTCATGCTTCCTAACTTCTTAAAAAATTTACTTTTCTCCCACATTCTCAATTTTTCATCTACATGCATACCTTTCTTCATTTATATTTAATTTACATTATTCAGAGAAGAATTTTCAATATTCAAATTTTTTGCTATGTTTCAATTTTTCGACCAATCGCCGCTCCCTGACATTTGCAGTATTTCAGAAATCTGGAATTTCATTTTGGGTGAACGTCGAGACACTCTTAATATTTGAGAATTCTTTCAATATAATATCCTACGGAAACAAATTTTCAATTACTTTTTATGTCAGTCAAATAATGTAGGTTGCTGGAAAAAAAGGGAAAAATTGTTTTTGTGATGAAAGGAAATAGTGTGAGGAATTGGAATGGAAGGAAAAAAAAGAAACAAAGGACCAAAAAAATTCTGTCGTAGCCAAAACATCCAGAATAATTTTATTAGAAGTGATTTTTTTTAGATTAAAACATAAAAACGAAATATTTCGAGGAAAAAAAGTGACATTTCTCTTTGAAGTTGATGTGGCTTAAACATTGTTTTTGGAGTTTATGAAGCTATAGAAAGAGATTTGACATTTAAAGATTGGCATAAGCTTCAACAAACGAAAAATGTATGGAAAAAATCTCAGAGTGTGTCAGAATGAGAGTGAAGCCTGATTTTCATCAGGTCAAAGCTCAGAGTCTGAGTTGTGAAACGACCATCATAATCGGCAGTCGTTGACCTTCACAACTCTCCCTCAGACACTCATCAGGTGAGTCTTAAATGATATACAACATTTTTCATCGATTATTAACCTTTGAACTCAATTTTTTCCTCAATTTTCATCTCATAAATTTAAATATTGACAGCACACAGACGACAACAACAACAACAACATTAACATCATTTATTTTAACATAAAATATGTTACCTCACCAATAAATAAAATAAAAAAAATCTTCCACTTCCATGAGCATAATGAGCATATATTAAAATATATTTGTACAAAATTCATGTTCGACAACTCAATTTGCATTAAGCCTTTCTATTTTACGCTAGACCCAAAAAAAGGAAAGAAAGAAACTGATTTTGTTGTTTTTACATAAACTCTGACTCTACGCAAATACTGTTAAGATATGATGAGACAGAAGTTTATTACAAAAAGCAAAAGAGACTTGCAAGCAATATATAATATTAATCACACCTGCTACTCTAATGTTAACTGGGTGTATTGTATAGAATATGAATCATACGTAAGTATTGCCTAAGTTTACCTCCTACGTATTATATTTGAATGTTAAATTACAATTTATTTATGACGCAACATTCAGATCCCTAAAATAGGTTTTTCTTCTAGTTCAATTCGAAATAGTATTTTTACGTCATGAATAAAGTATTATGTTTTAGGTTAGGTAACTGACTATATAAGTATCTGATTACAATTGATCTGTTTGGCTTGCATTATAATAAATTAGTCTCATTCATCTTCAGCTTAATAACAATAAAAATAAATCACTTAAACCACTACATAAGGAACTTCTTGAAAAATGATAAATTTAACATAATCAAAATCAGATTATTTCAGATTATTCGGATTATTCTAAGCTTTAATAATCTTTCATAAATCAAAAAGTAAAGCTATGTTCACATATTCATTTTTCATATGTTTTCATGGATAACTGAACAAAAAAGGTAGAATGTGGAAAGCTCAACAGATCTGTTCTTTTTCGACAGACCTTTCACTTTTGTGTGTGCAAATTCTTTCTTTAGGAACGAGCGCTAGATGGAGGAAGAAGAATTTAGGCAAAATTGGAATTCTTTAGGCTTTTTTCTTTAAGTTTTGTGAGGCACGAGTCACTACAACGTTACCCGATGAGCACAAGTCAGTTAATCGAATAGAAATCAGGCACCAAGCTTGCTATTCGATTAATTGACTTGTGTTATTCGGGTTAGTCACAATTCCTAAGAAAATCACAAATCTTATTGGTGACTTGCTCACCAAGGCAATAAAAATAAATTTAATTATTCAAAAAAGACATTAAAAGCTTCCAATTTAAAGTCTACTTAAGTTATTACATCCTCGTGTCTTTCCCAGTCTTTCCAATGATTAATTAAAACTTGCAATTCAATACCTTTGGGGACAATTTATTTAAACTTTTTATTATTAATTCAGATAAATTTTTCTGTCCTCTGCTGAATATTTCAAGAACATTTAAATTGTAATTTTGTTCCCATTACAATTCTCAAAGCGAAATAAAATGGATGTGACATAAATTAAAAGAAATGGAAGAAATTTTACTGTCATGTATTAATTACTTAAAGAATTGAAAGCTTTTATGTATATCAGTTTCGTTTACTATGAGCTTTAAGTAGGGTGACCATCTAATTTTTATGAAAATACAGGACATTTGATAAATCTCCTAAAAAATACAGGACACAAAGGAAAATTTGAAAATTAACGGAAATTTTCGTGAAAAAAAGAAAAAAATACAGGACCTGAAACAAAATTTTCAAATTTATACAGGACAGGGTTTTGAAATACAGGACTGTCCGTTGTAAAACTACGCAAATGGTCACCCTAGCTTTAAGTCGAACAAGACAACTTGCAAGAAAAAAAACATAAAATTATTTTTGAATTCTTAGAAAGAAATTGAAGCTTTTCAAGAAAATCCAATATTTTTAAGAAATAATGACAATAGCAAGGAGCAAAAGTTCAACCCATGTTTTGAAAACTTACAATATAAACTTCGGCTGGGTTCACTCGTAGAATTTTATGGTTGTAACTTTTTGGAAAATATTCAATTTCTCACAAATTTCTCATGCGGATTCTGTCGATGTATGTAAGTTACATAACCAACATTTTCAGCTTCAATGGAGAAATGAAATTTGAGAATAGAAAATATTTCGTTTCTGTGGAAAAAAGACTCAACGAAAGTTTAAACTTGTTTCAATGAAATTTGATACATTTAAACAGCTTCATTATGTTAAAATTTTGAGTTTTAAAATGATGAAATGTAATTAATTAAATCATAATCAAATTAATTAAGCCAGCAGTTAATAAAATGCAGCATAAATGTTTTAGAAAAATGATAAAGTATCAAAAAATATCCACAAAATCATCAATTTTATCACATTAGTAAATTGCACAAACCAAATTCATCAATAAAGCTAAATTAAATCCAATATTTTCTTTCACAATACCAAAAGACATTGTCCAAAAGCGTTTCCAAGTCAGAGCATTTTCATTTCATCGAAAGACGTTTATCTATAAACAATTTTATTCATTTAGCTTCAATCATTCATTTTCGTTTCAGCAGACAACTATAGACTCTATAGAATAATGAAAAAATGAATTAAGGAACAATAGACAGAAAATTAAATCAAAGCGATTTAAGTTAAACGAAGCAAATTGAGGCCTCAAATGTATTTCTATAAAATAATCCTGATTGCTAATAATGCAAAATTGCTTAAAATCAAAAGCTTCTTTTCTCTCGTCAAACTCCATTTCACTTCGGAGAAAATTAAAGAAAAATAAGAAAAAATAAATCTCTAAACAATTTGTGAAAAGCTTTCAATATTTTTCATCTCTCTTGTGTTTTGTGCCTTCACTTGCCTCTGCTATTGTTTAGCTTTAAAAATGACGCAAAATATTCTTTGCTTTATCAAGCTGCTCCAAAATGTGACAAATGTCAGAGAATAAGAAGAACTTGAACATATGTTCAGACGTGTCGACTGGGAATACACAAAGTAACGACCCCAATTCGGTACTCTTTTTTCTGTGTCTCTACCGAGAAGGAAAAAATCACAAATTATCTTAACAATTCAAATGCTTTTCCAGCACAACAAATTTGCACACAAAATTTATGTCAATTCAATTCAAATTGTAAAATAAATCCACAGTGTTGTGGTATTTACAGCATTTTATAATGTTTTATGGATGTAATTTGATATCATTAAATTATTTTGTTCAACTACAATCACGTACGGTGTACGATGAAAATCTTAGCAACGTGTGTGTACTCACATAAAAAAATATAAAGAATATTTACGAGTTTTGAGTGGAATGAATTTTAAGTGATTCTTTTATTACATCATGGAACTGATATGTCTGGGAGTAGCACGCTTAATGGATGTAAACGTGATTAATTGATTTTTTGGGGAACTAGATAAAAGATAAGAGTTATTGCTGATTTTCACTTCCGTGTTATAGTTTTTGAATGCTAGTCATTTGGATTCTAGTGTGTTGTGGTCTATGAAGCTCTAAACAGCCAGCTTTAAGTCGGTGTTGTAAACTCTAGAGCAGACACTGTTTTATATAACCAAGGCTGACCCAATACTAGGCGTTTGAGATTGTTGGACTAGGGTAGCCTTGCAGTAAAAACAATATCGAATACCTAAAACCAAGCAAATATCGAGCAAGCTATCACAGTCACTAAGTCAATTTCAGTTATATCACAAAGACAGTTATGAATAGCAGTTTACCACAAACTCACAAATCATCCATCAATCCATCATAATTGTCTAACATCAATGATTAGCAGTAAAAAGAATCGCAATGCATTTTAGTAAACAATTTGATAAGAAACTGATATTTTTTTTTTTGGTTCATTCAACACATCCGTCTGTCACACAGCTGATGAGCACACGCTATCAATAGGATTATGAAGAAATTGTGACATGATAACAGAGCGAAAATATCAGCACAAAAAATATATAACAGAAAAAAGTTACAAAAGTTTCATTCATATCGTTATTGACAGTATTCGAGGCAAGAATGAAACGATATACTTTTCCTGTTTGGTTATCAGCTGTTTACGTTTTATGCAATGCTGCACCTGCTGTTGACTTACCGCTTGAGGAGCAAGGGGGATTTTTTGAAGGTGACATGAACCTTACACCATCACAGATTCGCGATATATTTGTGAATAGAAATGCTGGATTGTTGAATACAAATTATAGATGGACTCCTGATAGTATGGGATTTGTGCCAGTTCCGTTTTTAATTAGGCCTGCAACGCCTTATGGTATGTATGGTTGTGAATGCTTAAATGATGTGATTAGTGTTGAGTGGCTTGTACTTTACACAATCCAAACTTATTTAAATTAAAGTGAAGTGCATCAATTTACGATTTTTGGTTGGGTTGCTCAAGGAAGCCTCAAGAAACTATCCCTAATAGATTGCGATATCCTCAAATAAACTAAATTGTTTGACTATAACAGTACCTTTAAAGAACCATTTTAAGATTATATCCTGCTCAATAACTCGTTTAAGTTGTAGGCTGATGAACAGTAAATTCAGAAAAGGTGAAATTTAATTAAGCTGAAAAATAAGCAAGAAATTTTCAGCTTCGTTGCTTCTTCAGAGCTTCTTCTTTAGAATAACAATAGACGTGAACACAACGAGATTTTTGCTTGCTTCTCAATATTGTTTACTGCCTGTTTTTTAATCTAATTTACATGAAAATTTAATTTATTTCAAAATTCAAAATTAGCCATGCTAAGCAATAAATTATTTCGTTGAATTTACATTCATCTACAAAAAATTCCCAAGTGTCCAATCCTACACGTCTAAGAAATGAACTTCCATAATTGATGATTGATCAGATTCTTATCTAATTTAATCAACACAGCTCAAGCCCAGCACAGCACAATTCGATTAGCGATGAATGAGATTGAAAGGAATACTTGCCTAAGATTTATTCCAAGAACAAATCAACGAGATTATATCGAAATATTTTCCGGCTCAGGATGTTGGAGTCGTGTAGGACGAAATGGTAAGAAAAATTGAATTTTGCATGATCTGTTTTGACAAATGTATTAATTAAATTGTTATGATTGATGCAGGAGGTCCACAGGAGTTGTCGTTAGCTCACTCAGCAAGCGGCACTTGTGTAACAAATGGAATCGTTATACACGAGTTGATACATGCCTTAGGATTCTATCATATGCAATCGAGTCCCAATCGTGACAATTTTGTGAGAATAAACTATGAAAATATTGAGAATGGTATGGAACATAACTTCTTAAGATATGACTCAAATGCTGTTGGATTATTCAGCACAACTTATGACATAGAATCGATCATGCATTATTCACGATCAGCATTCTCACGAAATGGTCGTGATACCATAACCACATTTAATCCAAATCACCAAAATCGAATTGGACAGAGAATAAGAATGAGTCAGGGTGACATTACAAGAATACGAAACATGTACAACTGCAGGTAGATTGGAACTAGATTTAAGCACTCAAAAATGGATTATTTTGTCGATAAAAACGCGCTCAAAATAAAAGTGTCAAGCAATAAAGATATTCACAATTTCCATGGTGTTTCGCTTTTATTTCACATGAAATACATATTCAGTTACACAGCTTTAAGGCACTTCTGTGAATGAATAGCTATTACCTATGCCACTTGTGCGTAAGAAGAGAAAAAAATTCAGAATATGAAGATAGACAAAAAATTGCCTGATTCACCGTAAGTGGAATGATTTGAGCGCATATTCTGGGAAATTGTACACTCGTGTATGAATGAGAATGTTAATTGCTAGTGAAAGCTTCTTAAATTTAGTAGACTTGAAGATGCCAACCCACATCATTTTGATGAATTTTTATGGCTCGTGAGTCTGAAAATGTTGAAATAATAAATTATTAAATTTTTTGGAGCTGCTTTTTTTTGATATCTCAAGTTTGAAGTAAGGGATGGGATATTCAAGGTTTGAATTAAAAGCTGTGGATCGAATTATGTCTTGGGTTTTGAACGACTTCCTTTTCATAGCCTCAATTTTCTGAGTAAAGATACCATCACTCGCCGATGGGAATCGAACCCATGTTCTCAAAAGTAAAGATATTTTCAAAATGACAACCTAGAGCTAATCTATTCGGTCACAGAAGCCTTACTACTTCACTGACAAATATTCTTACATTAACCATGACACTCTAGGTACCATACTATACTTAAATTCTTAATAATTAATACATGAGCTTCATAACTACAACAAAATCACAAAAATTCGCAAACTTCTCCCTTATAAATTATAAACCAAGCAATAAATAATTGTATGTCAAATCAGTTTCCGCAAAGCAAATAAAAACAGCAAGAACATGTACAAAATGTTGATAAAATCAACACCTTGGTTTCTATAAAAAAGTGCACTAATGAAAAGAAGGAAATAAAAAGCAGAAACATTTTTTTCTGGCAATGATTGTAATTTTTTTCATCGATTTTTTTTTGTTCTCCTTTGGGAAGCTATTTGTCATTGCGCAAATAAATGCCTTGTATGTATAACATTTCCCCCCTTTCGCTATATTTTATTACATTTCTTCGGTTACTTAATAATCATTTCATCATCTTGTAGGAAAAAGTTTGTGAAATATTCACTTTGGGGGTGAGTTGTGGCTTATGTAACGCTAGGAAATGGATTTTTGGACCCTAGTTCCTTCTTAGTGGTTTAATAGGATTGGTGAGAATAGTGATTGGGTCCTGGCAACCTGATATTGGCTGATGCTTTCTCCTAATTCCCACAGCCTTACTAATTTGGTATTATCTTCAACTTGAAGCGCATCCAAACATTTTTAAAGGGAGGGAGTGTGATAAAGATTTGCTCCCCAAACAGTAAGTTCGAAAAAACCATCCTGGCTGTGATCCTTACCCTTACAGTGTCTTAGATTAGCGTTACATAGCATTCAAACCATCTCACCTATTTTTAACAGCAACTTTGAAATTTACAAAAAAAAGACGAAAACTTAATGAGAAGTAATGGGGTATAAACAGCTTCTCATTCAGAAGGGAAAAAAGTCTCATTTCCTCTGTAAAATTTAAAGATAATTAAAACATTCTGGCAAATAATGGAGGAACTGTAGCTTGGCGTAAATCCGAAACAAAAATAAGCAACGACTAGTTCGTGGTTGGAAGGAAAACAAAGGTGTCATTTATACTTCACATCCTCTATTTTGGTTTATTTCCTTTCTTCTTCTTCCTCTTTCTCGAAATTTTGCGGTCAATGCACTTGGCGGAAAACGAGGAATTTCTTTCTTCGTAGCTGTATAGTCTGTATGGCGTCATTTCCAATTGAGCATTTTCCTTTCTTATTGTTTTAGTGATTATAGTTTTTTTTATTGTTGCTGTTGCTCTTTGAATGGATACTTAAGGAAGTTTTATAGGAGGAATTATAATTATATTAGAAAGATAAGCTGTGGATTGAATCAGAAATTAAGATGATTTTTGTGGAATTAAGAATTGAATGTTTTAATTTGTTTTGGTTATAGTTTTTATGAAAGCTTATCAAGTTTTATTAGTAGTTATTGCAATACCGACACAGCGATCATGGGTTCGAGACTGGGTATGGGAAATTTTTCACTTGTCCTTTTTCGAATCATATGTACTGGAAATGAGGCTCACAGCCTTCCTTTGTATGCTACAGACTGAAATGTCATCAAAGGAGTGGTTCGGATCCCACTATAAATTTTAGGTCTAGGTTTGAGTGCAGTGATTTGGCGCATCCTCACTCGTTAAACTCACATTAGCTGCGAATCGCCCTAGCGCACCTCTGGATCACAATTGATCTTAATAGGTAAAGGTTTTTTTTTATCAAGTTTGCAAGCTATCGTCCTAAAGAGGATAGGAGACGTCCGGGTATCTATAAAATCAATAACATGGCTCTCCTCTATGTTCATCCTCATGCAAGTTTGATTAAAATACAAATTTCTAATACAACTTCACATCTTAGCATCGCCACTTCTGTCGAATAATAGAAAATATTAAACATAAAATAGTTCTCATTCTTCATGGCAACACTATGAGACATAATTGGCTTTAAAATGAACTACAAGCTTTCATATTTTATGAGAAATATTTTACTGAGTCAATAAAAATTCTTGCTTAAAGTTTTTCTCAGTTCAAATTCCTCAAGCTTGCTCAAATGACTAACGACGAGATGAAAAGTTCAGAAAATCTTTTTATTAAAAATAGCAAAATTATGCTTTATATTCATTCCTAGAATATTTGTCATTATTTTCCTTATTTTCAGCTGGATAAATTCTCAAACTTCTGAAACAAGAAAAGGAAGCACATAATTTCATTCTTTTATTAATTGACTCGAAAATTTCATGACTAAGCTAAATTCCACAAAAATGTTCGTCTTACCTTTGAATATTTTGAGCTCATTCAGCCATGACAAATTTTTGTGAAGCTCTGCAAAAATTGTTTTTCGAAGAATCGAATAGAAAAAAAACTTCCTTTATGAAATTTTGATGATGCTTAAAAATCAATATACAATCTCCAACAAATCACGTTCTTAACATCTGACACTTGTGAGTTATAAAGGGATAAGTGCGATTAACCCAGATGTATATGATTTGTAAGGAACTGCAAATTGAATAGCATTTATTGGCGGCTTTTAGGGCTGTTTAGGATTGAAATCTAAGATAAGCTACCCTATAATACACAAGACCACACAAGGTATCTTAGATTTAGGTAAGGAAGCCCAAAATTAAGCTTCAGAGACAGTACTGCTGTCGTTAGGGTAGAATTCTGACAGATCCAACTTCGTCACAGCTGCGAAAAATAGATAAATTTTCTCATCAATTCAAATCAAACGCATGGCAATTGTAAGAATTGCAACCTTATTTCCAGAAACTTTGACGAATTATCTTTGAACAGACATAAAAATTTCATAAATCTGGTTCTTATTTCAATCACATTCAATGCCTTTAAAGTAGACTATTCAAATAAATCCTATCAAAAAAGATAAAAAGGTTTATTTTCCAAGAATATAAATTTAGGTCACCAATTCAACAATTTGCTATTTATTCCCTCCAGCAGTTATAAAACAACCTTACGCTGCTCTCGGGAATAAAAAAAAATTTACAAAACAATCAGCAGGCGAGAGGAAGCAATAAAAAGCCAACATATGAAAAGGGAATTTATTTGACAAAAATACTGGCACCGCATGATGTAAAGCAGTGAGTGAAAGTTTATTGTAATCACAATAAAACGAACAGAAGTCACTCATAAGATAGCACTGGAATCAAAACGAGAAAAGTTTTCTTTGGAATCAAAAAGTTTGATATGTTTTCCTTCTCCTTCGTTTCTGGAGTTAAGTTTGACAGTCAACAATTTAATAAACTTTACATCAAAAGTTGAAAGAAATCAAAAGAAAAAGTAGCACGTGATGAAGCACAAAATTACAGCAAAACACACCCCAAATGGTAGTTAAATAACAATAATAATGAATGGAGACTGAAGTTTTATTGATTAATCACAAAAAGTTTTTATTGTGGATATTATGATCGAGGTCAGTATATTAATATTAAAAATCTAATGGGCTGCTATTATTAGTCCTGATAACTCACTTGCCTTGATTCTTTCTTTATGAGTTCTTTGAAGTAGTATTCAAGGAGGATTAAGGAAGGGTCGTTTTATATGGCATTCTTAATAGCAGTGATATCCAAACTTTTTTGAGCCACGACACACGTTAGGGGTAAGCCATTACCAAAGTAGCACACAGCATCCGGCTCGCGTCACTACAAAAAATTTCTACAGCACACCAGTGTGCCGTGGCACACAGTTTGGACAACACTGCTTTATAGCCTCTCAACTGCTGGTATCAGAAGCAGCATCTCTGGTTTTAATTGGCTTTTTTGGGTCATATGTTTGGAGTGGAAGGGAGTCTAGAATTTTAAAGCATAAAGCACACCATTTTTTTCATCCAAAATTTGCAACAAGAGGTCCAATAAATTTATTTTGTATATCTGACACTCGTTGAGATTCTAAAGTGCTGAAGTCATGAAGTCTTAATCTCATTCCTGGGAATCTAATTAAGACTTTGTGATGAGCAACGGCTCTCAAAATGTGGGAAGTCATTACATTAAATTACAATAATATTCTCAGAAGTTCCTCACACACTTTACAAAATATTTCATTAAAAATTGAAGCTTAAAAATCCGTGCGGTACAATTATTGGCGACAGTGGTATCTTTATTTTAAACTTTTTACATTAAACAGGAAGCTTTTTTTCCTGCATTAATAACGCCACATTAAGTTTAAATATCTTAAAGTATACACGTGCCAACTAATCCTTGAATGTAGCAAAAGCCATTTAAAACATGTGCTGCTATTCTATTGAAAATGTTTTAATGCTGTTTGTAAAACGCGAGTCCTTCTGGAATAAATGTTAATGCTTGTTAAATACGATTATATTGGAGCTACAGTAGCGCTCAAAATGATAAGGACAGCAACATTTTTTTCACATTTTTATTAATTTTGACGCACAGGATTATCTAAATTTGTTGAAATTTGGACCAGTTATACAGTTTTAAATGTCCTTTGATAAAATATATACTAATTGTACTTTAATTAAATATTTTTGAAAGAAACGGTAAAAAATCAAAATGGCTGCCGCTCAAAATGATAAGGACAGTAGATTATGTTAAGATTTTATTATATTAAGTAATATTATGGAACTTTTAAGACTTAAAACATTATGTTTGATGAATATTCTTTAAATAAATTTATAATTCACGCTTCTAGATGTAAGACTTCTTACTTAATTTTAGTGTTTAAAAATATGTGAAAATTTTGTCAATTTATGATAAATTTTCGTACAGAAACTTGTTTATTCTTTAGGTTAACTACCAAAAATTATAGATAATTTGATTATT